GGCTTATCCCATAAAAACAGAACACCTTCGAAGGTGAGACTGAAGAAGAAAGACTTTCCTATCCGAAATATCGTCAAGTAAACAGATAAAACAATTGCACTTAGTCTGTTCGGACCTTCATACCATAAATTGAGACTACATAATAGAGGCTTATCGTAAGTACTGACAAGAATAATTTTGCATAATCAAACTTTTCCATTATTGCAATAGGTACCGTTAAGTATTTCTATGATTCCAAGTATGCCTATTAAAATAATTGCAGGGCAAAATTAAATTCCTTTTTTATAGATTTTTTTATGGCATTTACCGGCTTGGTAAACGAGCAGACGGATCACTTGATGGTAAGCAATCGGCGTAGCCCATGGACACCTGGAACACCAAGTACAAGTGCGTTACCGGCCTTTAGGGGATTAGGAGTTTGAGGATTGATCGTTGAGGATTCAGGAAATGGGGAGATTGGGGAAGGGGAGGGTAATTGGGCCTCCGGTAACCTCACTCACACGACGAAACACAACGCAAGCGTTGCTTCACGTCGGTTTTCTGTGAGGCCGTGGTATCACTCGAGCCGGCCCATTCGTGCCGAAGCATGGCTCTCCTACACTTAAATACGATAGAATACAACGGTAAACGAGCAGACGGATCACCTGATGGTAAGCAATCGGCGCCGACCATGGGAGTCCATGGTGAACACCGGAGGTATTTGTACAAGTTTGTTATCGGCCTTTTGGGGATTCGGAATTTGGGTATTGTTGGGGTTTCGGGGATTGAGGAGATTGAGAAAAGGGGTAATTGGGCCCCGATGGTTACTGAAGGTTACACTTGCGTTCTGTTTCGTCTCGTGTTGTTGACGTGCTACATCGTAGACTGCATTATCGCTTACCACCAGGCGAGATAGTCAAACGTTCTTTTTTCTTCTCCTGTAAACACCTTCTGATTCACTTCATTGCGGGAACCAAGACGTCCCTGGGACGCGCTGGACTTCAGTTTTCCGGTGTTTTCATGGTTGTATCTACTGTAGATCCTGGCTTACAGGAGTTGCAGCGGTTTTGGGAAGTTGTGGCGGACTTGTCCCATTTCAACAAGTCAAACGTCGGCCCATCAAATATAAAAAATAGACCTAACTAATACCACATGGCCCAACCATTCACAAAACAATCCCACAAACAATACCATAAAATATTATAATAGTTGTTTATCGAGACGTTTATTAGTAGTTCTATTTGACGTGTAACAGGAAGGGAGCGGCCTTGGTTTGATAGCTAATAGTTTGGTTAATAGATATAATTGATATATCCCCTAACTGCTCCAGTTAACTATTGCTGCCGTCATTAATTGTACAGATCATATGTCTATGTTATACAAATAGCAATATTAATACAAAGCTTCTGTTACTGGTTACAAAGTGACTGCAATGTATAGCTAAATTAATGCTCGTTCTTTAACCTTTGCAGGGAAGAGCATAAAAAAATGTGATAAAAAATCCTATCTTAGTGTCATTGAGAGAAATAATTCTCAAACCTCTGAGAAATTTAAAATATCTCTTCGATGTTACGCGTATTAACTAACTAGTACCTACTAAGGTAGAAATAAATCACCGTCAACAAAGTAAGTCAATATAATTGTGTTTCAAGTAAACATAAGCTAGACGGTAAAGAATAACAATTAGTACGGAAGATAGATAAAATTGATAGTACGTAATTATGAATAGAACAACATTCAATTGTTAACGGTGCGATGTGCGCTGCGTCGGTTGTATCATATGCTACGGAAATTAATCGAGTAACCTCGTTGAACCAAATTCGTTTAATTTAATAAAGAAGTCCAATAAAATCACAGCTGTCGTATGATTTAGGATGACATACTAAATGACTGTTTGACCTCGAATATTCGAAGAAACTGTATTGATAAGACTTGTCCTAATAAATGGCCGCCATCATACAGCATATGCATAAACATTTAAAATATTAAAGTAAACACTGACTAGACTTGATTTGGCAAACAAATTGTAAAGCTAGTTCATTGATTACCGTATTTTGATATTAAAAATATTATTTATTTCGAAATAGGTACCTACTCTTTTTAATGGGATTCATTTTTTAAGGGGGGAAATCATCGAATGTCTTCTCCCGCCTTAGTGAAGTGGGAGAGAGTGTCAGACTGTTACTGACTAAAAACCACCCCGTTCTTACTCCTGCACTTCGAGCCGGCCCCGGCAACCAGTTAAGTCCTCCGCAGCTTTCTTTCTTCTTTCTTTCTTATTGGGCCTTATCTGTGGTCTGATGGCTCTTTGAGGCGCGCGCAGAACGCGACACGGCGTACGCTCGGGTCTGGTTCTGGTTGGGCGGCCAGCTACCTAGCTACGGATTAGGGATTTGAGGATTTGAGGATTGGAACTTCGGCGTTGAGGATGGTGGGGGAGGATTAAGCGTTTTAATTGGCCTGCGTTGTGAGTGAGGTTACCGTTCGGTCAATTAAAATCGGTAAGAACTTAAGCGTTCTACGAAACGACCTTCAAACCTTCAAGAAAAGAGCGTATTCCTTTTTAAAAGACCGGCAATGCACCTGTCATTCCTCTGGTGTTCCGGGTATCCATGGGTGGCGCTGATCGCTTACCATCAGATGATCGTTTGCCTCCTATTCCATAAAAAAAATTCAGGACGCAGTGTTATATCAATTTATTTGGAAATTGCGAAAATGAATTATATTGTTTCCGTGTTACTAATTTAATTATAACTTTAATTAGTGTTATCTTATTTGGTAAGTAAATAGGTAATTTATTTTAGCCCAAAATATTTTTTCCCCAAAAGCATTCTAAGTCCAAAAAGCAAAATAACACTACCTGGCCTGGGAATCGTTTAAACATCGTAATTACGCTGTTACAACTGGTAACTATAATTTCTATTATTCTAGTCTCTTTTTTATTATTAAAAAAGAGTATTTATATGCAGTAAGATTTCTATTACGCATTTCATTACGCCGCGTTACTAACAAATACTTGTATCAATATAAAATGTTTTATCGCAAAAAACGAACATGTGTATAAAATGGCAATAAATTGTTGATAGTACAATAGGTAGGTAATTAATACGATAAAATGATGTATTGACCACAACACCATGTAGTTGGAATTATTTGCAAATTAATTAGTTCAATTAATGATACCGATAATATCTAATTACCTTGCATGTATATTACCTCTTTGTTGTAGTGTGGGAGAACCATGCTTTGGTACGAATGGGTGTGATACCACGATCTCACAGAAGACCGACGTGAAACAACGCTTGCGTGGTGTTTCGCCGTGTCAGTGGGGTTACCGGAGGCCCAATTACCCCGCAAGTGTCGTGATGGCCCGAAGGTTTAAGACGCCCAGCTCTTATGCATGCATGAGGGTGCCGGTTCGAAACCTACCAACGGCAAGTACCAATGTGACTTTTACCGAGTTATATGTACTTTCTAAGATTACTTAGACACCACTGACAAACGGTGAAGGAAAACATTTTGAGGAAACCTGGGCTTATAATTTCAAATTATAAGTTTGAAATTGCCAACCCGCATTGAGCAAGCGCGGTGATTAATGCTCAAACCTTCTCCGTGTGAGAAGAGGCTTTGCTTAGCAGTGGGCATATAGACTGTTGATGATGATGATGAATTACCCCGCAAGTGCGACTACTGAGCAAAGGATCACGGGTTCGATTCCCGGGCCGGGCAAAGTAATACAGGGTTTTTAAAAAAAATCTTAGTTGTTGCACGATTTCTGAAATTGTACCTGTTATATGGCAATAGGTTCACCCCCTACTTATTACATGGGGCTCATAACATAAATAATGAAAAGTGGCTGTATTAAGTGCCGTAATGTGCACCTCTGTCTACCTCCTCGGGAATAAAAGGCGTGATGTTATGTTATGTTATGTCTTGATACTCACAGTATGGAAACGAAAATTCTAGAATTTTTCACATTATCGTAATACAGTAGGTATATACATAAAATACTGCTGCACTTTAGTCACTCCCATAAATCATATTTATCGAGGGAAATATTTTCCAAAACATGCGTAACGAGAATTAATTTTATCAACATCTAACAGTTTTTCATGTAATTTTATCAGTTGGGATATAAACTTGTAATTAATTCAGGTGTAGGTTGTATGACATGACATTTGTTATCTATATCGTAATCTAATGGTGCATGATATTCAATATTAAACCTTATCATGTTTTGTTAAAGCGTACATATACGTAGCAGAGTGAAACATGCATTAAAATATTCTGAAAAAAGTGGTGTTAATTGACATCAGTTGGCATATTTTATTAAATCAAAATTTATTGGAAAAGGTCAGACAGGACAATGAAGTCACTATTATGTAGACAATAATAATTTGCATGAATAAAATTAAATATTTTCTCACAGATGAAATAAAACAAAATATGTAAATTATAATTTTAATACTGTTAAAATTCAACAATACGAAACATAAGTAATAAAGACTATACACACAAGAAACTGATCTATAACAAACTATAATCTTAATTCCAAAGAAGAAAGTAAGAAATATGAACTTAAAGTTACAATATCAGACTATTTACAAGTAGGTAAATGCAACATCGTAAGTATAATATAAAAGACATTTTGGATACAAAAAAATATTTAATACAAATTGTAAAGTTTTCATATCAACATTTTTAGGATAATCTTTAAATTCATTTTAATAGTTTAATGAATATTAATGGATATAAAGAATGCAGGCATATCTACGATCCGCATCCTATTTGCTGGCGCACCTCGCGTGCATATACCTATCAAGTGCATCTATCTAACAGCGATCTATATACAACTACATGCTGAAGTAGTATTCAAAAATCTCCTCGACAACACCAGTCATGAAACGTCTAGAAGAATATGGCAAAACTACATTTAATAAATAAGTATAGTGAGAAGTCTAGTCCTTATTAAGTACACAATAACTAAACGGAGATCTAACTTGTCATGTCCACTCAACACACTATATCTCTACGGCATCGGGAAACACGTGGTCCAGGTACGCCTGGTGACCATAACTTTGCAATGGCCTGGGCCTCTCCTTCTTCACATTCAAAGTTACGTTCCCAGTGCTACACTTGTTGAACCTCGAAGCTATTTCCCTGACCTTCCCTGGTCGAGGCCGAAACTCTTCTTCGGTATCTTGTTTCTCATTCCCTTCTATATAATCTTCAAACGACCGCTCCTTCTCTTTTGTGCTTTTCCAGCTGCGATTTGAAGATCTTCTATTATTTTGAAAATCTTTTTCAAAGCCATCCTGTTTCTTTCTGTCATTGTCCTTCCTTCCAGAATTATTCCTCTCATACATGTGAGAATAATGTTTGGTATCTTTGTGTTCGTTGTATTTTTGTGCATTTTGATTGATTGTATCTGTACTTCTAACTTTACCAAAGTAGGGGTCTTTGGAGTATTCTATATCGTTATTAGTTTTGCAGACATAGTTTTTATTGTTTCTATCGTTACTTTTGTTGGATCTTCTTGCTTTTGGCGGTCCTGGTTTAAAAGTAGAGAATTTATCATAATCATTATTGTTAATTTCATTGGTGATGCTATGAGGGTCGAAGGTGTGAGTTCTTTGGTGGGTTAGCGGCTTCGATAAGGACAAATATTTAGGCGGCTCTCCGTGCTTATTAATCGTTATTTCGTACTGAATGTGCGGATCTAATACCGCATATACATTCTCTTTGGCTTCTTTCTCCAGCGACGATAAAGCTGCCTGTAAAATTAAGAAGGTTTTGTTAATAATTGAGTAAATAATGTAAGATTTTCGTGTGGGCGAAGATGGTTCAAATGGGACTTATATGAAGTTACAGGTATTTTTTAACATTGTGTTGGTTCTCTTTAATATCGTATCAATATTTCCGGATCAGATGAGTAAGTTGGACCGCCATTGATTGATTGATAGGTAAATTGAAAACTGTCATCACCACTTTCCCCCTCACATACTGGCCTCAGGTGATATAGATATGCGATTTATGACCGTTCTACCATGCAGGCTATTTTATTAATATTGTAGTGAACAGAACACTTTTTTGTTAAAAAAACCTACACCTTGTGCGTGAATTTATTAGTTATGTCGTAAGATTTGGAGAGTTCGTGTATTGTATTGGCACTTTTCGTATAATTCTTAGTATTATACTGCGCTGAATCGCAAAGTAATGTAGTTTGAAAATTCTGTAAGTAATTTTGAATAGACTTTATTAATTGAACAGTTTTATCGCATTAAGTAAGACTTTTCAGTAATATTTCTCGTGTGATTTTGTCAGTGTTGTAATGTTTTGGAGGCAGAATGTATTAAATGACAACCATGGTTAATTTTATCCTTAATTCAACGTGCATGACAAGCAATAACAAACCTTATCGTGCTGTGTTAAGGTATGTTCACACCAAGTAGAATAAATGACTTGACTATGATATGGCTGGTGATGATATTGATAGGCACAAATGTGTTCAGACTAGAAGTAAACCTACATCACTATTTTTATATAAATTAACTCATCAAGTGATTTCAGAGAAGGTGGAGGCAATAATAGACTAGTGCGCTGCAGTTCTCCGCTAGAAGTGAATGACACTCAAACTAAACTTGTAGCCCTTCGCTAAAAGACATTATTAACGTTGTTCTAACTTATATCACTACTAGCTGTTGCCCGCGACTTCGTCCGCGTAGAATAATGACTTCTGGCAGAATTTAGGCTTTTGAATTAGTTTTTATCAAGGGATATTCTACGGTAATTGATGTCGTCAGAATTGATTCAGTCCCGTAGATGATAGCGTGATAATATGTAGCCTATATGTTTACCAGACTTGTTAGTAATATTCATGCAAAATTTGAAATAGTAGTGCAGTACTTTTTGAGATCATCACGGCCATACATACAGACAAACA